GTCCCTGAGCTCCGTAACGACATCTCTCATAAAGATTTGCGTCTTTAAATAGTAAAATAATTCTCCGAAAAACAGCTAGCCTCTTCGCTGACTAACAAAATACCATTGGAATGCTACTTCCGCCGCCTCACCGGAAGTTTCACCCACTTTATTTTTTACAGGAGCGCCCCTCGGATACTTGTGGATACACAGAATAAAACAAATCTGAGGTGGCATTTTCTACCGCGGTAACGATACCATCATAGGCAACATCATTACACTGTAGACTGGTCCAGATATTTAGCATGCTAAATATTTCATAGGCATCAGCCACACATCTGCGCTTCTCTCAGATTGCATCTTTGTTCATTCACTCTAAACAATTGCCACTCACATGAACAAGCACGAATTTGACTGCGATTTCTGCAAAACTGACAGCAAGTAATCAGGGCTTGAATAGTGCAGTGTGTACCCATCATAAGAGATCATTTTCACACCAACTAGAGAAACCTATTTCTGGATTGGGTATACCCTATAGGTACATATAACTAAAAGGACTGAGAAACAGTGTTATATACCACAAAAACTCTTAAAGCTACACTGTGTGATTTTTACCCCCATCTAGCGGTGAAAAGGTATATAACCAGCCAGTGCATACTAGTTTCTGTTCCTCTCAATTCCGATTTCGTTTTAACTCCTACAGTGGCCAATGTAGTCCAAGATTAGCATGGCTTCCAGTTCGACCTCATCTATGAGTGTTAATTCAAACGTAAACGCGAAAGGCGAAGCTTGAATTAACGGGTATGTCTCTCTTTGGCTAATGTACTTTCAAGATGGAGGGGCAACATGGCGACCGACATTAGAACCCCTTACCCGTATGTATTTTCAATGGCATATTATACACTCACGAGAATACTTTATTACTTGAACGAAGTAAATATACATTAATGAGCACGTATATTTTTGAAAGAACTATGTGTTTTTAGCTAAGAGTTCCACAGTGTAGCTTTACGGAAGTCAATTACAAAAGTGCTTTACAGTCATGCTGGTGTAACATTTTTGAAAGGGCAAAAATAGCCTTGCATCTAGCCATTAAATCTACATGAAACAAACTGTCTGTGATTTCCGAGTACGCTGCTGAATGATCTCAGCATGCTCTCCTAAAGTGCGATTGCCATGTGAGAATCAGCAGGTCATCTCCACCTGTTCTACAATTTATGGCTCGCAGCGGTTGCACATTTCATTTCAACGAGAAGTTAGCAATTCATACACGTTGGCTGAATTAGACTTCAGTGTAAATTAAATTCAGCACATGTTTACATTATTAGATGTACATTATTATCAGCAGCTAGAGATGTCTACAGAAAGCTAAAGCTATTGAACATGCTCTGATTTTGCAGCACTAGGGACTCATCGGTAGAATAAGTAAACTGCTGGGGGCCGTGGAGAACTGTCTTATGGGTGTTAATGGCTAGAACTTGGCTTTACTGTGAATGTTGAAAGTCTTGCGGTAAAGCCTGAGAGCGCTGTAGACTTGGCTCCTTCTCTCTCTCTCTCTCTCTCTCTCTCTCTCTCTGAAGTGGGTCAGCTTCCGAGCAGTGTCCCTTAAACAGGATTATGGAGAGATTTTTAACTTATGGCCATAATCTGTCCTTTTCCTGGGGATACAAATTATATTAAGAGAAATGAATTGTGCTCCATTATTATTTATATAATAGTAATATTTACTAGATTTATTTATGCATTTATAAATGGAGCTTGATACATGAAATAACATGTATCTGACTTATAGGATGGTGTTATGATCTTGAAGATGAAAGACAGGATGCTTGGCACACGAAAACATTATTTATGGACGAAAACAGGACAACAAAACCCACGCGGGGGCAAAACATGGACAGGGTAAGTGAGTGAACTAGACTATGACCTGACAAATAACTAGATGATAAACAAACAGCAAATAAAGAATCAGTACTCTCTCTAGACAAATACTCTTGCCAGGATACTCGCAAGGCTTGACAAGGTAAGATAACACTCAGGTAGGAATCACAATGAACCGACACAGGACAGCAAACACAAGGGGATAAAATAGGGAGAAACTAATGAAGAGAACAGGTGATGCAGACTAGATAATAATAACAAGGCGATAGGGATAAGTAACAAGACAACACAAGCACATGGCCCAAACAAAAGGCCTAGGACATCATATTATTGCATTCGGACTGACTGGGCGAACCTTTTATGTATGTATGTATGTACTGCCTGTCAATATTGTTGCATCTCAGTATTTGCCAAATGCATAAATATAAATCAAATAGAATCTGCTGTGTATCATACAACACCTAACATCGATATTTCACTGTTCTCGCTGTTCCTTTTTGCCTGATTTAAAACCACAGTACTCCTCCAGGTCTAATTACCTGTCCTGTCTCCTAGGTTACACCTGAATAATTGCTGCTGTTGACTGCAATGGTGTCTCTTGATAATTATTTTGCTTTGGTGACTTACTGATCCTGAAGAGGTTAGGCTAGAGGTGACATCATGTCACTTGTTGTTAAACCTGTTATGTTTCTCAGGTTGGGTGAGAGAGGGCAAAGTGAAAACCTGGAAAGTCACAGGCTGATGTAATTTAAAGCATTGCTTCATGGATATGCACTGTTCAGAACAAAACTCGGTTTAAAATGTAATTAAACACCTGGATATTTATAGATCAGAGGTATTGAAGTTACTAAAAAAGAAAGGTGTTGTAATGAAGCAGTTAACCATCACATGCGTAAAGAGGAAAAAACTGAACCTACATGGTATTTTTTTCAGTGAAGATAACATATTTTGTATCAGTCATCACAATGGGGGTCAAAATGTAGAAATTGTCAGGGGAATTTTGACTCACAAAGGTAACATTTTTGTCAATAATAATAATACATTTTATTGAGTCATGGGTTAAACTGTATTTCAATAGTGCCTTTTAGACATTCATGTCAACTAACTATTTTAGGTTAGGGTTGGTAAAACAAGTTGACAAAATTATTTTAACAAAATTCAATTCTTAAATATCCAGTACGGGTCATTTATGCATACATGAACTCTTCAGGTCATGCGTTTTAAGGTAAAAGACTGAATAATTTTTCACCCCTTACAGTAATTTTTATTTTATAACACGCCGGTTACAGTTCAGATACTGTACAAATGCAATTAGCTTCCTCCGTAATATGGGTGGTTAAATCCATACACAGCACCCCTCCGTCTGCATCACTCTGATTCTGTGAGTGCTTTTATCAGCTTTATTGCGTGAGTACTGTTTCCTCAGCCTATCAGCTTGAGCCATATGGGCTTTGTCTTTGCAGCTCTCTCTCCGTCATTTTTACAGTAGGTGTTTTTAGACAGCTAAGTGGGTCTGTAGTGAAAACAATTATATAAAGATGCTCTCTCGCTCTGCAAGCCCTCTGTTTTTGGAGCTCTTCCAATAGTCGGCAGAGATATTTGGCTCTCTACCCTCCATAGTAGTTGCCCTCAGAAACCCTCTCTCATTGTCTGTGTAAGGTAGCTTGTGAGTCATTGTTCCTTTTGGAGCCCAGTTGGATACATTGTCTGATTGATATGTACTCCAATGTACAGTCACAAACATAATAACTTTTTCCATGTCAACTGGCTGCACCTAACATGAGGTCTGCGAAGTGTAAATGGTACACCATAGTGTAATAGATGTGATGGCTGAGGCGTTTGTGTTAATATTTTGTGTCCAATAGCACTACAGAGATAGACAGAATAGCAATTTATCAAAAGAGAAGATTGCTGATTTGTTGAGTGGAAATGCAGAATAGTTTACTTTACTCTAATCCAGTGAGTGAAATAAGTGACAGATTTTTATGGCGTGTTCGCTCGACAAAGCCCCTCTGAGCCACATAATTTTTGACACCATGATGAACTGATGAGTGTAGAAATCATAGAGATACTTGAAAAAGATATTAGAGTCCCAGCAGATGTGAAGATGTGAGTACAGAACATGGGTGGAATCCTGAGTGAAAGTGTCGCTGAGCAACACTATATATCGTATGGTTCTCAGTCATGGTCCTGGAGCTGCACTGTAAAAACCAATTTGTTCAGTTTACTTAATTTTATTATGCAAAATCGTTGCCTTAATTTCATTAAGTAAGCATAAGTTAATTGCATACTTAATCCATTTAAGTTTAACTTTTAACTTTTAACATTTAACTTTTTGTCTGTGATCTGAGGAAGCGTCTCCCAGAGTGCATTGTGGCATGAATAAATTAATTGCTTTGTTTTTCTATTTTTGGCAAAGTTTATTTTACCATTACAATTTAATTTGCCATCGTTATTGGGGTTATACTTACAAGAGACTGCAAAAAAAAAAAAAAAAAAAAAAAAAAAATTGTAAGGGTCAATTAATTAAATCATTAAAAAAATTTAATATATATATATATATATATATATATATGTGTGTGTGTGTGTGTGTGTGTGTGTGTGTGTGCATCAAACCAGTCAAGTAATGTTTAAGGTTTTTTTAGTTACTAAGGCATAGTACAGATTACAGGTACTAATAAATTTTAAGTAAGTTCAACAAATTATTGGACATTAAGTAAAGTTAACAAAAAAATCTAAGTAAGAACAATGTTAGATTTTACAGTGTAGCTGGTTTCATTTAAAAAATGATATTTATATTTTATGATTACGCAGGTATGTACTGTACATGAGAGTGTTTTTTGTATGTTTATATATTATTTTAGTGTAATGTATGTTGCTTTTCATTGTACCTTATGTATGCTGTTATTGCATTTTACAGTAACAAACCAATTTAACAATTCAAATATGATTTAATAACATGGGCACCTTTTTCAAAGGTCACAAATCAATGCTGGATGTGGATCTAATCATTTACATGTACTGACTACAATATAAATCAATCTAGCACACGCAAATGCCCCGTATGGAAGGGAGAGGACAGGACAGGACAGGACAGCCTGCACACAAACTCTGTTCATCTTTGTCAAGGACAATTCATCTAAACGGATGAGCTCAGACAAGCAGGCTGGCTGTTTCCACTCGTCGGTTTTTGCGGCTGAGCTTTTGATTGGCTGATTGTATTATTGTATGCAAATCTGGTCGGGGTTGCAGCCAGTAGGTGAAAGGCTCGCGCTGGTGTGGCTCTCGAGACCAGAAGCGCGAGGTGAAGCCGCTTTCTGTGGAGCTGTCCACTCCAGGAGGTGCTGAAACCAGGATTTTCACGTCAACCGACAGTTGGAGGGAATGCACTAACTCCGAGGACGCTTTACAGCAAAACCAAAACGGGATTGGATTTACTTCGCAGTCAACATTATTGCTCAAAACTCTATCGGAAATATCTTTCTGGATGACTTGTAGTTGGATTCACAGGTATGTTTTCTATGCATATCCTGTTGTGATTTAAGATCAAGCCTCAGGTCCGTGGATACAGCACGGATGAATTTGATAGTGATTTAGACGCTCTCACTATATTACGTGCTTCGTTTTGGACTGGTGTGCTGTTTTTCAAAGGGATTTTATAGAGAGGCACTGTGGAAACCACTTTCGCTGTGGAGTGTGAATAATTTAGCATATTGTGCAGTGACATTCAGCGTACGTAGCGGGCATAACTGACTGAATGCCAGTAGCTGTGCTTGATGGAGGGTGATGAAGTTAGACGAGCTTTTTCCAGCAGCCGTTATCGGGGACGCTTTAAGTTCACTCATCGGTCGATCCGATGTCATGCTCCCTCAAACGGTGCTGCGATATTCCTCAAATGAATAAAGTAAATGTTAAGCGATCGTAAGGGACCCTGGGCAAAGCTCGTGGCCGTTTAATTTAGCCGCGGGGTACTTAGCAAGTTGTTTTTCTTAGCACGCAAATCCTTGAGTGACACCGTGCGCGCTGGGGATTAGACTCTTGTTTGCCTCGTGCAGATTCAATCTGGCGTGTGTGTGTATGGCGATCGCTGGTAATTGACGTGGCTGGCTTGAGACGGGCGACAAATTGGTATCTGTAGTGTGTAATTATACGGAGCCGTTCATTCCGGACGTGTTCTTGCGTTTAAAATCATCGAAGGGGCGCATCGCAATAGAGCACAGGGCTCTCCAGACGCTTTTTAAGTTGTTTAACTGTTATAACTTGACAGCAGGATGATGCTGCGAACAAAGACGCTGCTTAACGTAGCTTGTGACATAATTCGATTGTTTGAAAACAGCAAGGATTTAATACTTGTGTAAACGGTTCAAACGTTTTATACGTGTTCAGACTCGAATTATGTTACACAGATGACCATATTTTATTTGGATGCAGCCATAAATTATGACAAATCAGTACATTATCATTTTTACAGTTATATATAATGCCCATTCTAATCAACATCCAAATTGTTGTGGTTTGCACTTGAGATATTACAATAAACTTTATGTAGATTATAAATGAATTCAAAATCCTTGTAAATATTGTTGTTCAGATTGTGTTATGTGGCACTCATAGATCACATTAGCAGCATCTAATAATCCTGATAATTTGGTTGGCATCAAATGACATAAGCAAAACTTTCAAAAACATTTGAATATGATGTCCATTAGAATGGACACTGGGTCTAAATGGGTTAAACACTGTAAGATATGTATCACCATGTTCACAAGGTAGATATAGATTTTTTAAATTGCCTATTTTCTAATCGAAACAGGTTATCGATCAATAGTTCTTGTCTTCTCCAAAGTTGGTTGCAGGTATCATTTTAAAATAGTATCTATGTATTGCTGCAACATTAGACAACAACAGCGCAAGAGACAACAGTTTAGTTAGATTTGAAGCTAAGTTGTCACCATTTAGACTGTGCCATATTCTCAAGTGCTCTCCAGTTTTGTTATTGCCTGTTGGTTTGGCTTTGCAAGGAATATTTTGATTTTGTCCTTGAATTCGCAGTCAAGCATTGACATTTGCTCTTGTAAGCTTTGTGGAGCCAGTGCTTTCTGTACACTGTTTTACTCCAGTTTATTTATAAAGTGAAAGGTATAAATGCTAAACTTGACTTTAGATTATAAAAAAATCACAGAAGAGAGTAAAAACAGAAAGGTGGGTGGAAATGCACGGCACCCCCTTCTCAGCGTATGACTGATGAGGCTCATAGTTAATGTATGAGAATTCAGTAAGGGTCAGTAGCTCCCATTGCTTTTCTGCTGGAGTGATTCTAATGCACACCAAATTCTCCATTAAACAAGTATAGGTGCAATCCTGGCACTTTTTCTATAGCGCTTAGTAGCAAAGGATGCATTGAAGACAAAGGCTCTAGGGAACTCACACTGTGCAGAAAGCGAGAGGAACAACAAACATTTCCTTCTCCCACAAGATGCAAACATGCATACTCGCACACATAGACAAAAGAATGAAGCCTCAGATCTGACAAACACATATTAAAGAGCACTGAGTAGGCCATGTCCCTAAAAAAAAACTGTAAGAAAATCTGTGAGGGGAAAAAAAAACATTCATTGGAAATATATCAATTTACGTCAGCAGAAGGGAAAATCACTGCAAGCATCCTGCGTACTCGATCGTGTACAGGAGACCACATTCCCCATCCTCATTCTGTAGCAAGACCTCACCCTCTCACTTTTCTCCAACTCTCCACTTTAAGAGTTTCACCCAATTATTATAAATGTTTCAGCAGCAGGTAGAAAAGCTGCTGTAATGCTGTGCTGTGCACTGATGTGAGAGACGCTGCTCACAGTGAAAATAAATGTCGGCACCTTACCAATGAGAGTGGTTTTGCATGCGAGATGGGAGGGCTTCGGATGTATCATCTGAAACAGGAAACTATTTAAAGGGACAGTTTACCTAGAAATGAAAAGATCACCCTCATGTTGTTCCAAACCTGAATGACTTTCTTGAGAAGGTTTTGCTAAATGTTTTTGTCCATAAAATATTTGGACCCCAGCATTCTTTAAAATATCTTATTTTTTGTTATAACAGAACACAAGCGTTTTTTGCTAATTTCAGCCCAACGATGTTATCATTTTCACGTCCTATGCCACATTGTTTAAATAGCAAATGTATTCGCACCTATGCGTGCGCCCATGCTGGTCTGAAAACGAGGTGTGTTAAATAGACTGTGCCTTTGACCAACAAAAACCTGGTCTAAAGTCAATGGTGCAGTAATTTCTTTATTTAAACAGTGTATTAGTAATGTGCGCGATCCACAATGCTTATTACAGACGCAGCAGCACACAAACTAGCCAAATGTTAAACAATAAAAGGATTACAATGTAAAATATGATGGAATCTGGATTGTCCCATAGGTGGTCTGCATGCACATTTTATCATTGCGCAGAGGTATGCACTTAGATTGTTAAAATAGGGCCTCTTGAAGGTTAGTAAGTGATGGCAGAATTTTTACTTTTATAGGTGAACTGTCCCTTTAACATGCATGCCAGTAATGGATCAGCATGAGGCATTAATCAACAGCCTTGTTTTGCATTTCCATCATCACTCTCCTCTTTATCATCATCAGCAACATTGTCAGCCATAGCTGCGTCTTCATCATCATCATCATCACCATAATCGTCGTCCTGCTTTTCTCATTTTCAGCCTTCATCACAACTCGTGGAATCGTTATTGTGTGAGCATAATAGTAGTCTGAGATTTGCAGTTGTTTACTGCCCTGAAAGGCACTGCACTCACACGATACAAAAAAAACGAAGAGGGGCAATACAAACACTCTAATTGCTTTCAATAATTAATCTCCTCAAATGACTGCCTTGCCTTTTCAGCCTCGACGTGCATAGCATCACCCCGAGATACACATCCAAATAAAACAGCAGCATTATTTTCACACAATGCCGCTGAGATGCATGTGCCGAGCAAACTTTTGTTCCTGGTGTCTGTAGATTCCCCAGTCCATAGATATGTTCATCACAGACCTGAGTGAGTTCTACTGTTGCGCTAATGAATCCTGACACTGCCCACAGATTGGACAGGTCAGTGCAATCCTCCGTGACCAGCGAATAACACAGTTCACTGCTCAGTGGACATAGAGCTGTCTCAAAGACTGAGCTCACAAAAGGCTTTTCTGATTTGCTCGATGTATCCATCTAGAAGTGTGAACTTTGGGTTTAGGGCAACTTTGTTGGATTTCTGTTAAGTTTTGATCGAAGTTATGGAACCCAGTTTAAAATCTATAGGGCGATCATCTCCATCAACTTTCGAAGTTGAGTTATGGCAAATCTTAGCTTGGGAAAACCCAGACAACTTCCGGCAAATTTAGATTTGCTCTGAAAGTTAGTCCGGCAAAGAGCTCATTCAAAACCATTTCCAATCCGTCAAAATCGGGGAACCAATCAGAAACGTTGAGGCGGGCTTTACACGATGATGACAGGGCTGGGATTTTGAAGCAGATTTTGTAGCCTACATTACAAAGATGGACGCCGCCGTCAAACATCACTCGCTCGAATCAGCCATCGCGTCTGTTTTTAAGCGATTTGAACGTTTCCTTTTTGTTAAAAACCGAGCGAAGAACAACACTCGGATGTTTCTCCACCGGCACCGGCCGTCTACCCGCGACGTCCGGAAACACTTTACCAGACCATATCTCAGTTACAACTGAGAATGGTCTGGTTTTAACCCTTTCACGCGTACGATCACACCGGTGTGATCAGTCTTGGCTGGTCCCTGGAGCGTACGATCACACCGGTGTGATTAGAACGTTCAGTGCACACGTCAGCAACTGCTAAATTCAAACTTGCTCTCGCGCGTTGGCTGGTGCTCAGCCTGAGACTGAAATAAACCACATAATGTTTATTTTAGGTTTCAGACATTTAAATACACATATGTACAAGCAAAACAATGATTTTGAGTTTGTAAAATACATACAGATGTCTATGGAAGCGGCAATAATAATCCTTTCAATTATAATAAGACGACACATTTTATTCATATCAGATACACATTGTGTAAGTAGCTTAACATTTGATCCTATTCTTCTCCCAGTTCACCAGCCACTTACTATCATGTATTTCGTGAGAAGTGGATGAATTGACGTAGTAAATCCAACAGATCCGATTCTCTGAACTGAAAACGAAACTAAAATGGCGCCGCCCGTTGTGCATACAGCTCAACTAACGCGATCGTTATAAAGATGTCTAAACAACAAAACCCATCCACTTGCACATATTTGATAATCGGAATATCAGTGTTTCATGATATAGCTAATACATTTTTGAATATGTTTAATAAAAAAGGAAAAATGACATAAAAGCAGATCATCATTCATTCCGCGCTCTGTTCTGGTTGTGCTGTGTCACGTGACAAGCAATGACGCGTCACCATGGAAACATTAAAGTGGCAAGTTCTAAATAACGGTCGCCTTGAAAAACTCACGCTGGGGGGTC